TCAGTGAAGGAAACCACGAAACTCATTGCCCCCAACCAGGAATACCATAGTCGACTGGTACGGGAGGCAATAGAGATCCACAACAAATTGATAATTTCAAAAAAAAATACGAAGCTGTAAACTTCAACCGAATATGGAATTCCATTCTAAGAAGTTCAAGAATAGCAAACAGCATGACGGCAGGTAGAAACGGGTCGACGAATGTTATTAACAATTTACCTAATCCAGGTACAGGTATTATCACACTAGACTACCTGAGTCAACATAAACTGGATTTATGCAATTTGACTGTTCCAGGTACAGGTATCAGCACACCATACTACTTCGCTTTAGGCAGCCGTAATATCCAGTCATCGTGTTAGTTCGATAAGAAAGTCAAAAGATTGAAACAAAATAACTCTGTTGAGTATCAGCCATTACATGCATTTTATTCACACTTTCTACACAGTTACCAAATTTATATTTTTACATCTTAGATGAGAGTTGACATTGTTACCAGGAGCACCATAGAAATATTTTTTTGAGCTTCAACCAACATTCCCACTAGCTCAAAAAATATTTGAAAAAAAAATACATGCTTCCAAACTAAACTATTTTAAAGTGTTTTATTTTACCTCAACTATACCCAACTTTTTAACGAATTCATGTATAACAGCACATAAGTTCTTTGTTAAAACATGGCGGGCATGTTGGATGTTTTCAAATATTTGAGTTCAACATGTTCTTATATCAACGTGTTTCGTCCGCTTGTTTAATATGGGATCAGCTGATAATTTTTGAGCCCCATCAGAAGCTATCCTTCTTCAGCGGCCTCTGATACTGCCATGTAATCCAATTCCGTGCTCGAGAGAGCAACTGTTTTTTGTTTGAAAGTCAAAAACAGAAACCAGTGTATGATTTCCCATCATCCCATCAGTCGGCATCATCAAAACCTTTAAGAAATACATCATTTTTACGAAAACGTAATCGATAATTCTTGATTTGTTTTAAGTATCGTTAAATTTACTTGGCATGCTTCTAACGAGTTTCTGTGTGACAATTATTAAATTGACTTGAACAACTCACTGCAAAAGAAATACAGATAGGTACATATGGCTTCCGATCAGTTGCTGATAGATAACCTTATCTGTACTTTCACTATTACTAGTTTTCTCCAAGTTTAAACCTATCTCCATAGGAGTAGTAACTGTTTTTGACTCCAACATGTTAAATCGTTTTAGCAAATGTTCTTGATCAAGATAAATATAAATATTTTCTCTATCTCTAGTTACTCGCATGCTTAAACATTTTTCAATTTCTCCTAAATCTATAATCTTAAAAAATTACCTAATTTCAATTTCAGGTCATCTGACTCAACTTTATCATTGGTAAATATGAAAAAAATCATCTACTTAAATTGAAATAATAGTTCTTAGATTATTTTTCATCTTGGTGTATAAACAGGGTTCCAAATTTAATTTTTTATAGCCTTACTTATTGAGATGATCAACTTTTTCATACCAAGATCGTGATGATTGTTTAAGGCCATAAATAGCCTTAAAACCTCACTTTCAGAATCTTGCATTTCCAAACCTTCAGGTATCATCATAAATACTGTTTCTACTCAATCTCCATTGGGAAAGTGTTACAACGTCGAGATGAAAAATGTTCAAATCTAATTTGACTGAAAAAGCAAATAATAGTCTTAGGGAAGAATGTTTCACTATAGATGGAAAAGTTTCATCAGTCTATGCCTTGTCTTTGTGTGAAACCTGACTCGGTATCTCACACCACTAGCACGATCACTTTTGCACCTAAACACGCACTTACATTTCACAATTGGAAAACCTTCTGAATATCAGTTAACTCCCAAGCTGCATTATCCTGAAATGACTGTAGCTACTCCTGCATAGCTCTCGTCCAACAGTTTCGATTAGGCCTGGACATAGCTTCTTCAACATAAATTGTATCATCATCACCTCCCAGACATAAGTAACAACAAAATCATGAAATGTTTTTGGCTTTGGCACCCTTTGTGACTTCTTAGTTAGATTTTCAGAGATCATCTCATCAGGAATAAAGTCACTTCTGATGTACTTTCACCTGTCGATCAGTAACACTAGAGGTTTCACTGAAGTACTGATCATCATCCTCAGAATCTCCCACTGGATCTGATGATTCTAAATTTTCATCATTAATGGCCGTTCTGATGTAATTGTGTTTTCATTTATGATGACGTCTCGGCTTTTCACAACTTTTTTCACTGGCGCCAGCGAAACGTCAGGAAAAAGTTCCAAAAATTGCCGTCCTTCAAACCCGAAATATAGTGACATTAAAAAAATATACTGAACCACCAATAGATGGAGATTCCATTAGTCCACACAAATCACTATGTTTTATTTCTAGGAAATTTGTGGCTCTATTGACTTTATGTTTGAAAGACATTCTTCTTCGCTTACCGTCACCTCATACCTGACAAAGTATATTCGGTACATTCTTCATTGCTTTCAAATCCCTGTAGTTAACATGACCTAGGCGACGATGCCAAACATCTGAAGTAACTGAAGCAGATTCTGAGGACAAAGAAATTTGTTTATTTTTTCTTCTATTTTCTGATAATTTAACCTGTACACAATTCCTGAGAGTGAAGCAGATTCTGAGGACAAAGAAATTGGTTTATTTTTTCTTCTATTTTCTGATAATTTAACCTGAACACAATTCCTGAGAGTTTATCTGTTGCTATAAGTTCATTTTGAGCATTGAAAATCTCGCAACCTGTACTGTTGAAGGTGATTTGATTTTCATTTTTGATTAACTGACTCACAGAGAGCAAATTGGTAGTCAAGTTGGGGACAATAAATAACTTCACATTTCCAACTACTTCGACTGGTAATGATTCTCCATTAGCAACTGAGTTGTCTTTTGACTTACTTTCTTCTTTAAAATCACTGATCCACGATGTTTTGCTGTTAAATTTCTTTTGACATACTCTCTTCTTTACAATCACTGATCTACGATTTTTTGCTGCACACTGCAGCCACTGTCTACGTAACATCATCCTTGCTAAATTCTCCACTGAAGAACATTGCACTTAAAGCATTATCTTGGTATTTTTTACCTTTTCTCATCCGTGAAAAAATATCAGATAAAGCGGCTAATAACATTGAAGTAACTCATCCGTCACTTATTGTAAATCCTGTTTTTGGAAGTTTCTATCTTTTTGTTTGCATAGGTTTCCACCGATTCGCAGGAGCCCTATTACCTTGGACACACGATTCAAGTAGTTCAAAGCTATTAAAATATTGTGCTTAATGACTGAATAACACAATTTTATTTCAATTATACAAGGGTACCGGGCCCACAACCTGTTGAATACTGTGTGATTGTTAACACCTAATAAATAAAAACTCTGCTTTCACGAATGACTGAAACAAGGCTCACTTTATTACTTTAACTACAGAACAGAAATTCATGCGTTTCCGGTTTCATCACATATTGTCAAAGTAGTTGTTGTCCGCGGCTTCGTCCACGTAGAATTTGGTTTGTCACATCAAGTTTCGTGACAGACCATTTTTAACAAATAGCTACAATACCTTTTTATCAACTCAAAACTTCAGGTTTCTAACTTTAAAACTGACTTATTTTTCCCCCTTGAGAGTGGGAATCCCTGATTCCCTTTCTTTATGCTTATTTACGCTATACAAAAAAAACTACCTGCATATTTCAAGATTGTAGGTTCAGTAGCTTCAGCTGTACGTTTATATAAGAGCGAGCAACAGCTGGTAATTTATATTTTTACTTTAAAAATACAGTAACTAAAAAAATATGCCAACTGCACTAAGTCGGAATGTCGCTTAGATTACCCCTCTACTCCAGCGCATCGTCCTCTGTCGTCTTACAGTAGATGCGAAGGGTAATGGCTTACTGCGTTGCGTCAAGATAATCTTTTCGTGTTAACTTTTGAACGATTCGTCCAAATTACTTAGTATAAAAGACAAAGTTTATTTACATTAAATACTTTAAACGTCAATTGTATACATTTTTATAAGAATTAGACATATATTCCAAAACGTGTGTTGTAAAAAAGTATCCAATTCAATTGTATTCATGACTGAGTATTTTGCATATAGTGGCTACCACATAAGATGTAGGTATACGCTATCGCGGACTTTTATTTAGAACTATTTAAGATAAACAATCTTACAGTAAATCACTTGCATGTAACTTTAACGGTATAGGCAGGCACGCCGAGATAGCTCTCAGGGAGCAATAACTTTTTCAACTCACTTAATACTTATCGTTATATTATGAATAAAATTACACAAAACATTTGCAAATTGTAGCCTGAATGTTATTCTGATGCATAAGCTGTATTTATTAAAGTTTCATCTAAATCCGTTCAGTCAGGTGTAAAAGAGGCACAAATATACATACATATACACAAACAAACGTACATACATACACACATGCGCGCGCACACATTCTTGCACGCACACACTCACGCGAGCCGGCACGCACATACACTCAGGGAGTAATAATTTTTCTGACTTACTTAATACTTATCGTTATATTATGACCATAAGTACACAAATCTTTCTAAATTGTAGCCTATATGTTATTCTGATGTATGAGCTGTATTTATGTATGTATGTTCAGTCGTGAAAGAACTACAAACATACATATATACATAAAAGTTATAGCGCCCTCTTGGTGGCAAGTGATGCCACACTATTGGCTTTTTTCATCAGGAGGTACTAAAAATAGTTCCTTTTTTCAAAAATTTTGCCCGAATTTCATATCTTGATCTGGCCAAATGTTAGGACGGGGGGACTAGTTACATCCGTACTTTATCATTTTAAGTTATTATTTTTATGGATATTTTTTAAAGTATAAATGAATCAAAATATCATTCTCAGTATCAAACAGTTTCTCTAGTGGCCGTAAATGCATTAATGAATAACGGGGAATACGGGAAAACAGGGTTTTTATATTATCTAATTGTTGGATAACATACAACAAAAACCACGTATTGTTAGTTTAATTACAAAAAACATATACAAAGTAGTATTAGTAACATTAAAATTGTAAACGGTAACCAAGTTTTCACAAATGCTAAAAATGAGACAAATTTGCCATACACGATCATAGAAAATGCTAATTTCACCATATTCCAATTTGAAGAGCCATTATACTTCATTAAATTCAGTGCAGTTGCAACATGCGAATGACAATTATCGCAAATCAGATTGTGCATCCGCCCCTTGTATATTTCGGAAGCTTCTGTTACCGCTGCATCCCAGCCACTGAAAAATTGGAAACAAACGTTATTATATAACTTGAATGAAAAAAACACGAAAAAGTTCATCAGTTACCATATCATTTCAAAAAACGAATGGGTGACTTTGTTAACAATAAAAGCTAGTGCGTAATATTAACCACTGAAGAGTCCAAATAGTAAGTAACTTGTCGTATTCATAATTTGCCTATAAATTGCAATATAAAAAAATATTTTTTTTTATTATCTTTTAGTAGTCGACGTTTCAGACAACAATCTTTTTCCATATGTATTCATGTATATACATTATCGCATATGACATCTGGACGAATATAAAAAAAATAAGCTATTTACAATGAAGGCAAGAGTTTTCAAATGAATTTTGGGTTTTAAAAACGGAAAGAGATTGTTTTCTGAAACGCCGAACACTGAAGAAGGTATAGAAATTCAATTTTATTCAATCGATTATTCAATTTGTAGGCAAAATTCATCAATATGACAAGTTACTGACTAATTGGACAGTTCAGTAATTTATATTGTGAAAAAAACGTGAAAGAAATGAAACACTTGTTGCCCTTGAGCATTCAGTATAAAACTAACTTCTTTATTTTAAACATCAAGTTTCTTAATGTCATAGAACATTACAGATATCACAGAATATAAATATAATTTAATTTTTTGCAGGCTTTCGTCACCCCCACTCAAAAAATGCAATATTATCTACACAAACCCAATTTGTACAAAAAAATGTGAGCCGTCAGGGAACGCCTGGCAGATGTGAAACATCAATAAAAATATTTGGTGACCCCAGTGATGACTGTTGAGTACTGAAATATGTAATCAAAATATACATAAAAAAATTTAATGTGACTTTAATATATTAGTGAACTCAAGAATCTTACCTAGTTATGGCCAATATATTACTGAAGGCTTTGCAGGAGGCTCCCCAATTTCATTTTCTGAATTATCACTGTCACTTTCTGAATTATCACTTTCAGACATTTTATTTTTAACTGTATACACTATACGTATCCGAGCACAGTATGGCGATGAGGACGCATATACTCCGAACCAGTGGGAAGATAATCGCACAGTTGCTTGCGCATGACTACCTGTCGCCACTGCATGCATCGCCGTGCCAGAAATCGGTTTAACGTGAGATTATAGATGTTTCACATCGAAAATTTATGCTTTTCACAGCCTTCGTGAGAATATCAGCAGATACTTCATCTGGGCGTAAATGATCTAATTTGGTTAGTTTGTTAGAAATTTCTTATCTAGTAAAATGGTAAAGAATATCAACATGATTAAAAAAATATTGGACCAGAAAAATTATTGGATCACTGAACTAGCTTACTGAGTATCAATATGCTTGGACCTCTTATGATACATTAGTTGCTGCTCGCGTCTTTCCCCGCGTAGAATTTGGTTTGTCACATTAATTTTCGTGACAGACCATTTTAAACAAATAGTTACAATATTTCTTTACCAACGCAAAACTTCAGGTTTCCAACTTCAAAGCTTTGATCCCCTATTTTTCCCCCTTGGGGGTGGAGATTCCTTATTGATGCTTATTTACGCTATATAAAGAACCTACCTGCATATTTCAAGATTCTAGATTCAGTAGCTTCGGATGTACGTTAATATAAGAATAGGCGGCACCTAGTAATTTATATTTTTACTTTACTCAGCCAACTGCGCTGAGTAATAAATGGCTTCGAGAAACGAATTATGTTAACTATAAAGAAATCCGCAAAACTAACACAACCGTCAACGACGTCCGCCCTCACGCGTCTGCCGGCGTTCTCGGCGATGACGCTTCATTGCTTAGACCGCCCCTCTACTCCCGCGCATAGCCCCGTCGTCTTACAGTAGACGCGACGCGTAATGGTTTATGCGTTGCGTCAAGTTAATCTTATCGTGATAACTTTTAAACGATTCATCCAAGTCACTTAGTGTAAAAGACAAAGTTTATCTATATTGAATAATTGGAAACGACATTTTTATCAATTTTTATAAGAATTTAACAGATATTCTAAAATGTGCATTGTAAAAAAAATATCCAATTTAATTGTGTTTATAGCTCAGTATTTTGCATATAGTGGCTACCACATAATATGTAGATATATGCTATCCCGGACTTTTATTTAGAACTATTTAAGATAAACAATCTTATGGTACATTATATGCATTTAACACCGGTATAGGTAACGACTTATTGATACTTATCGTTATATTATGACCAAAATTACATAAAATCTTTGTAAATTGTAACCTATATGTTATTCTGATGTATAAGCTGTATTTCACGCCTAAACGACTGAATCCATTCAGTCATTTAGGCGTGAAAGAGCCACAAACATACATATGTACATACATCAATCTTCACAAACTTTCACATTTATAGATAGATTTGATAACAGACACAATGCACTTTGTCATTGAAAACTTTGATACAATTGGATTTGTATAAATTCATGCATCAAGTTTTTCAAATATAGCTTCCTCAGTTGTAGCCATATATTCGGCTTCCATACTGGATAAAGCGACCGTTTATGCTTCATACTTTCGTCAGAAATAACTTTCTTAAGAAGTAACAGAACCATTCAATCTAAAAACAAATCCGGTATAAGATCACCTGTCAATAAAATTACTAGTCCAATCAGATATAGAAAGCCTTGAAGCTGAGGATCTGTATTTTCTTTTGAAAAACGTTGATTTTATTAATTTTTGTACTTTTCAAGTATCTAAAAATTATCTTAGCATACCTCCAGTGTGTACTAGTAAACAGTTATTGAACTGACTTGAGTAACTGACACAAGTCTAGTACAGCTGAGTAAATTAAACTACCTTAGTCTACAACATACTTAATGAGAAAAAAATACAATTGACCTAATTTCATTTCTTGAAGTGAAAAGACAAGTTGTAATTTTCAACAATAATAGACGTGATATTCAGATCGTATCCCGTGGAGTGCCATTGGAATCAGTTCTTGGTATACTTTTATTCATAATATTTCTAAGCGATATCACTTGAACAAAAACAAATACTGAACTTCAAATAGTATATGCAGATCCTACTACTGTCTGTATTAAAGACGCAACGTGGCAAGAATCTATAGTGGTTGCTAAAATAAAGGCCAGCTACTTCATGATTACTGTCCAAATTATGATTTAATTTAAATTTTTTAGCAGGAAAACAGTTTTTGAAGGAAATCATGATTGTGTTGAAAAAGGATAGAAATTTATTTTTGAAATATGTGACAGAGTTCATTTCTTGCCATTGTTCCTTACTTATTGTATTCACGAAGAAGTCTAAGTTATTATCATTTATAATATGTTTAACAATAGCACTATTAAGGTCGATTCATACATAGCAGTGACGTGACTGGCACGTGTTTTTAAACACGTAAACTAACAGTGATTTCTATCCATATCGATCAGTGTTTCATCAGTTCTGTGGCAGTTTAGCTAACTATTTAAAATGGAAATATTCTCCGATGAAGAACTTTTGCTGATTGCTATGGTTTTGGATGAAGAACAAGTAGAAAGACGTCACTGGGCTCATCCAGCATGTAAAAAGAGAAGTACCGAAGGAGAATTTATTACATTGTACAAGGAACTGGTAGACGACGCAGCAAAGTTTTTTGAGAGAAAAGCTATCACAGCAAGGGGAAGACTCGCTGTTTGTTTGAGGTGAGTGTTTATTTTCAATCTGGTGTACCTATATAGGGTGGTTCAGTTCAAAATGCATTGATCTTAATACGTGATAGAGAATTTTAAAATAAATGGACTTTCATAAAAAAATTTGCTCAAAAATGTTTCATAAGAAAGTTAGAAGGCGCCAAAGTTAAGAAAAATAATTACTTTCATAGGGTTGGATAATAATTAGTAATTTTATAATAAATAACTAAGGAAGGGTCTGGAAATACTCCCTCAAAGTTAAGTTTGGTGCTGGCTTCTCCTCAGTGTGATCACTAGATATGGCTGATTGTTGCCCATCCCATGAAGACTGGTAGCTGCCTGCAGGAGAAGGTTGTACATTTGAACAGACTTGAATAGAACTCGATGACGCAGTATATTATTGCTGTTGATTCAGCGAGTTCAGTTCATATTTTTGAACAATATTAAATATTTCACCTTTTGCGTAACACCAGTCTTGTACAGATAATTTTTCAAAGATGGAGCCATTCCTGCTAAAAAACATCAACAGGATGCTGCGTTGGTGGTGGGTACCCCATATTTTTATTTCTTTCAACAATATACTCCATAACTGTAGCGGCGCGGCGGCCGTTTTAGGGGGAGCAGTGGAGTTTGATAGTGACAGCTTTCGAATTTTTCGTGGAATGGTACGAACTTTGACTTTCTAATTGTGCAGTTACGCCATCGTTTACCTCCGATGCAGGAGAGCCTTTAGTTTGAGTATTTTGTTTATTTTTGGATACCTGTTCACCTCTTGTATCACCTGTGAAATCTTCGGTATCTACTTCCTCATCAATGTTGGTTTTAGTCTTCCTCTCCTCAAAGAATTTCTTCAAAAAGCTCAACTGCTCAGAATATTTGTATGGCTTCACTTTTGTTGCTTGTTGACCACTCTTAGTCTTTTGTTTATTTAAAGATTTTCTGAAGTTGTCTCTAATATTGGCCCGTCGAGCTTTACAGACAGACCCTAAAACAAAAAATGAGAGTTATTATTAAGCTAAGAATGCAATAATACTACTCGTTTGCTGTACAATTTTTTTATCTTCACTGTATGTTTTTTTTTAGATATTTGGCCACTGGGGACGCACTGAACACAATATCGTTTAGCTATTGTCTAGGACATAGTACAGTTCACAAAATTGTATGAGAGACTTGCGAAATTATTATTACACATCTCACGAAAGAACTGATGCCAACTCCAACACAAGAAATGTGGATAAAAATCGCTACTGATTTTTATAAAATGTGGAATTTTCCTAACTGTATAGGAGCTCTGGATGGCAAGCACATTGTTATTCAGGCTTCTCCTAATTTCGGATCAATGTTT